ACCCTGGCCAGATGTTCGTCCAGCCTTTTTTTAAAGACCCCCAGGGTAGGAGCCAGCACCACTTCTTTTGGAAGTTGGTTCCAGGTTCTAGCCGCCCTGACAGTGAAATAGCACCTCCTAATGTCTAGCCTGAAACTACCCTCCGCTAGCTTGTGTCTGTTGTTTCTTGTAACTCCCGGGAGTGCTCAGCGGAACAGGGACTCTCCCAATGCCTGCTGGTCCTCCTTGACTAGTTTGTAGACTGCCACTAGATCCCCTCTCAGCCTTCTCTTTTGGAGGCTGAACAGGTTCAGTCTCTCAGGTAGGGCCTGCCCTGCTTACCCTTGATCATGTGGATGGCCCTCCTTTGGACCCTCTCCATATTGGCCACATCCCTTCTGAAGTGCAGCACCCAGAACTGGATGCAGTACTCCAGCTGCGGCCTGACCAGTGCCGCATAGAGGGGGAGGATCACCTCCTTGGACCTGCTTGAGATGCATCTGTGGATACACGACAAGGTATGGTTGGCCTTCCTGACTGCATCCCCACTTTGTCAGCCCATGTTCATTGTGGCATCAATAATGACACCAAGATCCTTTTCTGCCTCTGTGCTGATGAGAAGGGAGTTCCCCAGCCTGTAGGTGTGCTGCTGGTTCCTCCTCCCCAGGTGCATTACCCTGCACTTGTCAGTGTTGAACCCCATCCTGTTCTCGTTGGCCAACCCCTGTAACCTGTCTAGATCCGCTTGCAGCCTGTTCCTTCCTACTAGCATTCCCACTTCACCCCACATCTTAGTGTCATCTGCAACTTTGAACAGGGTGCTTTCTACCCCCTCGCCCAAGTCACTGATGAAGATGTTGAATAGTGCGGGCTTGAGGACTGAGCCTTGGGGAACCCCACTGCCCACATCCCTCCAGGTCAAATAAGACCTGTCCACCACCACCCTCTGAGTGCAGCCCTCCAGCCAGTTAGTGACCCATCTGACTGTGTAGGCATCAACACCACTGTCTCCTAGTTTCTTACTGAGAATGGGGTGAGAGACCATGTCGAAGGCTTTCCTGAAGTCCAGAAAGACTATATCTACTGCAACACCTGCATCCAAGGACTTGTTGACCTGGTCATAGAAGGCCACCAGGTTGGTTTGACAAGACCTGCCCCTAATGAACCCATGCTGGTTGCCCCTGAGCATAACCTCCCCTGCTGGTCCTTCCTGGACACGTGCCAGGATAATTCTTTTGAAAAGCTTCCCCAGGACCGAGGTAAGACTCATGGGCCTATAGTTTCCTGGGTCCTCCTTCCTCCCTTTTTTGAAGATGGGGACCACATTGACCCTTTTCCACTCCTCTGGCATATCGCCCGAGCACCATGAGTGCTTGTAGAGCTGTGTCCCACAATGACCCCTGCTAGTTCCTTCAGCACTCTGGGGTGGAGATCATCAGGACCTGCAGATTGAAATACATCTAATCCCTCCAGAAGTTCCCTGACAAGGTCCTCATTAACCCTAGGCCTGGGTGTGCCACCCACAGGGCCCTTGGGGGTGCCAGTGGGGGAGATATCCGGGTTCCTCCTCAGAAATATGGAGGCAAAGAAATTGTTGAATATTTCTGCTTTACTGTCAGGTGAAATGACCAAATTTCTTAGCGTGTCCTGCAGAGGCCCTACGTTACCTGGCACCTTCTTTTGCCCCCCTATGTATTTGAAAAAGGACTTCTTGTTGTCTTTGATCTGGGTCGCTAGTTCCCGCTCCATTTCCACCTTGGCCTTCCTGATCGCCCCCCTACATTCCTGAGCTACCAAGGTATAGCCCTCTCTTGTGATGGCCCCTCCCTTCCAATGGGTGTATGCCTCCTTTTTTGTTTGGAGATGTTCCCGGATGCTTTTGGTGAGCCATAGGGGCCTTTGCACCCTCTTGCCCCCTTTGACTTGTGTAGGGATTACTTCCCTTTTGAGCTTGATGGATTGTCTCCTTAAGGAACGACCACTCCTCCTGGATATTCAATTCCCTCCTGCTCTGGGACCTCAGTGCTTCCCCCACTAGTTTTCTCACCTCGTTAAAGTCCACCCTCCTGAAGTCGAGGGCTGCTGCCTTGCTGGAGGCTTTCGCCACCTTGCGCTGGATGGTAAACTCCAGCAGACAATGATCGCTATCGCCCAGGTGGTCGAGCACCCGCAGACCCCGTACCAGGTCATCATGTTACAGGAGATAAATCCAACTATTTGTAATTTACTTAGGTAACAGTTACTATTGTTAGTGCTAACATTTTCAGCGTACATTAAATTGACAGTACCATGGATTATTGAACCAAATACTTTCATAGTCTGGAAACACAATAAAAACTCTCCTTACTTGGTAAAGGAATCTATATGAACACAGTTTACTTGCCTCAGTCTAAGCCTGTGATTGTCAGCTAGGGTGCTGCAGCACCCTTGGGTGCCTTGAGATCCTTTCAGGGTGCCACACAAAATTAGCTCTTCTAGGCATACAAACAAGATTCACAATATATGTATACCAGATATTTCAAATAGGAATTCATAGCGTTAACAACAGTCTGATGTGCTGTGGTCTTTCTGAGTTCTTTGTATCAGCATTGGTCTATTATCTTTCTGTAGTCTAAAAACAAGTGAAAACTGAGAGCTGGCATTTCCCAAGGGGTACCTTGAGCCTAAAAAGGTTGAGAACCACTGGTCTAAGTACAGGCATATATACTCTCATAGCATTTTTATTTTCATAGGCCATGTCTTCTCTGAAAAAACCTGTAATGTTTTTTTTTCACTAATAGCAGTAATAGGAGAAGCTGAAGTGTGAGCAGCTTCAGTCATCATACCATATAATCCTGTTATGCTTATTTTAAATAAGATGCAATGCTCACTGCTTTTACCATGAATGCCGCTTATTAAAAGTGTGCATCTAAATCCTGTCTTTTACTGCACTGGTATACAAAAGGGCATAAGACACAGAGAAGTAATTCCATTTCCCACAGTCTTACTTGATGAGTAAGAGGGAATATTCTACAGCAGGGGTTGGTAATGATTTTGCGCAGAGTGCCAGAAACACCCAAAACGTCAACCTGTTGGCATGCTGGAGGCAGACAGTGGGGGATCCATGAGAGACCCGATCCTTGTTGTGGCAGTGCAGTCCCAGCCCCTTCCCCAATGTGCACATGCCAAGCAAAATGCCTGTGCATACCATGCTCTGACATGCTTGCTGCGGGGTTCCCTACCCCTGTTCTATGGCATTGAAGAAAAATATTCTTAAGGAGATTTCCAGATAAAGCTCTAGCTGATGCAGTATCTCCAAGGAAATGTAGAACACAGTCAGGAAATGTCTAGAACCCTATGATAGTTGGATGGCACATTAATAGTATGTTGTTCCTGCATTGTTCTCAACAATATGAACCCCACTAGCTCTTCATTTGCTTGGGAAATCCTTCATGACTGACAGGTAAAAACTATGGATTTTGTCTTTCAGCTGTACCTCACATACCAGTAAGGGTGGAATTATAAAATCTTTGAAAACATGAGTAAAGATATACATTAATAAAATCATACCATAATTGATATCTTGACATCTTATAAATACATTGTTTCTATGTGGGTACCCCTACAACATTCACTTGCTATGGAAATATATTACAGTTCACTTTAAATTTGTTTTGTAATCAGAATTCCTTACACAACATAGAGCATAAGTGGTACACTGGGAGAATGAGATTCACGCTCTTTGTTGTGAATAAATATTTGTATTTACTTTACCTGAATTCATTATATTCCAAGAAATGTACAAGTTAGTTTTTTTCAGATTTAGTTGCTCTTCTTTCTCTAATTTAATTTAAGGCAGCAAGAAGATTACATTTTCATTTATCCTTACTACTGTATTTTGACATACTATGGTTACTAATTAAAGTATAGCATGAATTCTTTATCCATTAGGTTGGTGATGGCTTGCAAGTGATGAAAAACAGTTTCCTTTACACAAATGTCCACCTTTGTTAAGGCTGTCAGGCAAGTGTGATATCCAGGGCCTATGGTGTCACTTTGGGGGAACTGATAATGTAATCTGACTTCTAAAAATAATTTAAATGCATCTTGTCATCTGTTCCATATAACTGTAAACAGTAGAACGTAAAGGAAAACAGCCTAACATGAAGTATATATCTAAACCTAGAAAAGTTCACTGTTCAGTGTTAGACTAAGCCTTCACTTTTGGTACATGTTCTAGAATTGGTAGGAATTCTCTTAATTTTAATGATGTCTCTATTTGCTGTAGCATCTTCAACAGCAGAGAGCCCCACTACTGCCTATAGACCTTATCCTGTAACTCTGCTTATATGAGGAATCCCACTGAAATAATTGGGATGACTTGCATTATTAAAGGTTTGCTGGCTTGAGCCATTAGAGGGAAAACTTATGGGAAAGGCTTCTCTTGAGGATCTGTAAAGCACCATAGGCATCTGTGGTACTACATTAATGTTGAAGGATTTATTATGAACATGTATATTGTTTTTTTGCCTTAGTAGTTTTATGTTGTATGGCTGCTCTGATTGCTCAGAGTAAGTGACAAATTCCACTCTGGTTATTTTATCAGGAACTGTAAACAGGAACAATTCAATAAAATACCTTTCTGTTCTCTTTTCTTCTAGGCCTGCACTGCAAAACTTTGCTTGACATGTTTTGTTATGTGTACATGCTGTTAACCTCCTATTCCTTACAGGAACAGATTATTAACACAGTGTACTATATCGTTCTTTCATACTGATGGAAGCTAATGTCATTGTGTAAATACTGTAATAATAGACCCTTTATACATACATGAGATTGAATAAAAACAGAAAATATTCACACACAGTTGTTTCTTTTCTACACGTGCTCTTTTGGCTATGTTGTAACTTTTAACAAAACCTTTCAAAGATTTACTTGTTCACTCTTTATGCTTATTAAGAGTACATCTGGGTTTGATTGAATCTGGGTTCTTTGACCTTTCTAGTTCTACCAAAGTAACTCAGTTTTTCCTTTTGTCCTAGTTTAGACTTGGATCACTGAAGCTACAGAAAGTCTCAGCTCCAGCTGAAGTCATTCAAGAGCTGATTAGCTATTGCCTAGATTGCATAGCAAGACTTCATGCCAAAAACGAGCACCTGCAAAAAGAAAACGAAAGGCTTCGAAGTGACTGGAATGACGTACAAGGACGGTAAGTTAAAAAATGTGTTAATAGGATATCCTTGTAGCATGTTTTGGTGCAGTTTACCTATACAACAAAATATTCCTGCCAATACAGTTTATTGTGGTAGACATTACTGGGGATATGCACAAAGTGTAATGTGTATATTTCTTTTTATTTTAATGTTGATAAGTATTTTGTAGAAGCTGCTTCCCTGCTTCAAAAGGGAACTCAGAATGGTGCCATAAAAAAATCTAGTTTTACATAGGCAAAAAATATTCCATTGAAGTAATTGGTCCTGACCTCTCTTCTGAAAAAAGCTTTGTGCATTTTTTTCTGAGGAAGTCTTTTTGTGTCTCTTACTTTGTGTGATTTACATTTTGAACTAAATTATTTCCATTTTGTTGGTGTGCAGGAAGTAAATTGGTAAAAGTGAAGGTTAACTATCTTGTCAAAAATTCAAAGGTTGCAGCAGTCTCATGGGGAAAATTAAGTCAAATATACAATAACAATTGCACAAAGCGTATTTGTAATGTTTTATTTCTCAGTAAATGCTATTTGAAATATATGAAGCCAAGTTTACAAGTAACTGTAAAAAACTAGCTCAGTGGTGAGCAAACAAAATATCCTTTGATTTAAAATAAGAAAAGAAAACAAATGACATGGTTTGTCCTTAAATTTACTAGAAGCATTTCTCTAACAGTTAAACATTGTTACAAAGTATAATGTATTATAGTTTGTGTGTAGGACTGCATTCAATCTTATGTTAAGGTGTAGTGTTGTAGTCCTAGTAATAGGTAATTCCAAAGGAAGAAACTTCACAGCTTTTTGACAGCCTGATCCTTGGGAGTAATGTATTTAAGCATCTTGATCCTGAACCCAGGCAGGCACTGCACTTTGGGTCTCCAGGTATACTTTATGATATAGATCCTCTGCCTAGCACTGCATTTGAAAGTTGAGATGCCATGGTCTCACTGCCAAGGCCCTAGCATCTGTTTTTTAAGTTGTGGCAGATGTTCAGTTAAAGGTATGATGGGATCTGATCCACAATTGTAGGACTGGAGATCAGATCCCAATTGTGCCTGCCTTCTTACTGGTGCAGGTACTGATCATGATCTCAGGCACACCCTACACTGGTAAGTAGGAAGCTGAGTGTCCGGTACATCTGGCTTTGAGTCCCAGCCTGGGAGAACATCAGTGTCAAGGTTTCCGATGTGCCTTCATGGCTGGGAGCCCCAATCACCTGATTGGCCTGGCCACATGTTCAATTTAAGGTGCTACTAGAACCAGCCACAAAGTTGCTACACATACTTTATGTAATAACTTTTTGGCTTATTCCCTGTTTTATTGAATGATTAATTGTATGAAACAGTGGCCTGGTTACTACTTAAGATGTGGCTAATCATGTCTTAAGTATATCATCTGCCAGGGGTCTTAAACTCCCCAGATCTTTCTCAAAGTTCCAGTGGATACTCAGGCTTAAAATTTCAGAGACACATAATAGTTCAAACATATAACAGATGCTTGTAAAAGTTCTAAAACTAATTACTCCTTTCTTCACAGATTGTGAGACGTTTTAAAAATACTTCTATGAATTTTCCTGACACCATTTTTTCAGCATTCATGATTTTTTATTTTTGTGGATTTAGGTCAGTATCTTCTAAGGAGGCCAGGTTCCTTCCTATGTCCTTGCCTTCCTGCACATTTTTTCTCCTGAGGAACACAAACGTTCTCTAATCTCTTCCCCATCTCTCTAATATGTCTAAGGAAAAGACTTTCTCTTCTATAGTTACCTTTCCTTTTTGTCAGGTAACTAGTTCTCCCCAGAGATGGTCATCTGTTGCTCAGTTACTACCTCCTGAATTTCCACGGACAAAATAGCTGTCCAAGGGTGCACTATTTGAAAAGAGTGAGCTTCTTGCTGTCCTTGTGCCAGAGGTAAGATTTTTTTCTACTAATGTCCTTCAGATTTTAGCAGAATGGGAAAAGACAAGGACAGCAGAGAAGTCTGAAGCTCCCTACATTCAAAATGGGCTTTGAAGAGTTTGCTCAAATTGCCAGAATTTTAACTATTTTACATTCTTAGTCATAACTACATGCATTACAAGGTGTGGATGAATACATGTGAGGAGCTGAGTGGCCTTGATTCAGTCAACTCACTTTTTCTCACTATCCTGTAATTGCAGGATTGGGCTTTACAGCCATTTTACTGCTTTGTAGGCGGTGTAAAAAAGGCACCTTTGTGAGACTTCTTGTGTTAAAATCCATGGTCTACTGCTGAGTTCACTGAAATCAATTGAAAAATTCTAGCATATGTTGTTTAAAACTATAGCACTAGATTAAAAAAAACAAAAAAACCCACCTGAATCACTTGGTGGTAAAGCTCAAACAGAGAAATTAGAGAGAAGTCACACAACTGTTGCCATTTAATTAGGAGCTGAAGAAAACTGGGTGGTTAACACACAGTTACTTTTAGCTAGATAATAAAATTAGAACTTAATTATCATTTGGCTATTTTATGCCAAACAGTTTAGTTTACTTATTTTTACTGCACATAAAAATAGTCATAAAGAGTTTTATAACACCCTTTCTGTGGGTGTATGTACATACACAGAACAGGTGAATTAAAGTATAAAAATATAATTTATAATATTTTTATTTATATAAATAATTCCTAAATCCAGAAAATAAAAGGTAAATTTTCATTTGAATATGAAAGTAGTAGTCAAGTAGTCAAGTATAGTGACTACTATTTGTAGTAGTAGTAGTAGACTACTATACAAGTAGTCAAGTATAGTGACTACTACTTGTAGTAGTCAAGTATAGTGACAGAAAAATTGAACCATAAATTGCCTAGAAAAATGCAGGTTGGGTGCTTGGCTCTTGAAAAAAAAATTATTTGAAAATGACTTAACATCATTCTTAACATCAGCTCATCAACATTCTGCACCACTGCCACAGAAGAAAAAGGGGAATAGGATGCAATTTTAAGAAGGACATGAAGTAAACATAAGAAATATTGTGATATGAGTATGTGGCAGGCATAAAACTCAACATTAACTGCCTGGCCTTGGGTGCAAAAATATATGTATAACTGCAGGTGGTTCTTCAGCTCATATTATTGCTACATGTCATTCTTTCTTAAGAAATGGACAGCTACATCAGGTACCTTTTGTTATCTACCAGTGGTAATTCTGATTAACATTAGCTGCTTTCAGTAGGATGTGATAGTGTCCTGATTGATCTGATCTCAATTACATGTGACATTAAAAGCTTCATACCTCTATTACCAAAAATAGCTGAGATAAGATTGATAAGATTGATGGGCACTATCTGTGCCCATTTGATTTACTCACTTTTGATTTTGTTTTTTATTACATTTGAGAGTTGTGTTTTGAGATTATAATAGCTTTTGTATATGGCTGGGCAGATGAAATTTCACTGAGACAAATCACATGCAAAGCACAAGCATGTGGCAAATTGCAATGAAAGGTTGTGTTTGTAGAAGATAGCATGCTGGAATGAAATCTTAGCCAAATTTTCTTAGTGCTCATGTAATACAGATAATGAATGCTAGAATAAATTAACAATAAAAGTATCTTTGTTGATCCCATGCAAATTCATAGCCAGAAAACCCCACTCCTGCCACATGATATATAAATGGCACATGTCTCTATCCAAGCAGAAAATCACAGCTGCTTTCCAAGGTGCATTTTGATTAACATGTTGTGCAGCAATCTTAAAGGAAAACTGTAACTTGCAAAAACTACACTAATAATCTAGAATTTTTAATTGTGTTAAATAAACAACCCAATGCTGGATCCGGCCCATAGACCAACCCCACTTGTGGGGTCCATCCCGCAGACCAGCCCTGCACCACTCAGGCTAGTGAGGCTGGGAGGTTGAGCACCACTGTCTGTACCAAACTATGACCTTTAATTTGACTCTTCATATTTCTTAGAGGATGACAAAAGTGACTATCCATTTCCTGTATTTCATTAAAACATAAAAAGTTCATACAAAATTAACCTATACCATAATACTAATTCACTTAACCCACAATATTTTTCTGTGTCCCAGCTCCAGCAAACTCTGCCGTTCCATGTATCAGTGTCTTAGCACTGAAAAATGGCAGTGGGGGTGCTTTAACTAAAACTTGTTCGGCGAGCTTTAGTTAAAGCATCCCCGCCACCATTTTTCAGTACAGGAACTCATACATTTGACGCTCTGGGTGCTTTAATTACAGCAGCTTTTGGAGCTGCTCTAGTTAAAGCACTTCCCCACTCCCACCCCAACCTCCTGGAGCATTTGTATAAATGCTCCTCAAGCATATAGATCAAGGGTCAGTAACCCCTGGCATGCATGCCATTAGTGGCACATGGAGACATTTTCCGCAGCATGCTGGGAGGCACGTAAAGAAATTGCATTGTTTTTGGTTTTTTTTTTAAGTTGCTGCTCTGGGCTCTCCTGTGCAGCCACAAGTCCCAGCGCCACGGCAGGCACTGGGGTGGAGCCAGAAGAATGCAGGCAGGGAGGCTGGCTGTGCTCTACTGTCCCCGCCTCTTGCTCCCAGGTTGCACGCTCTAGGTCAGCTGGCCCCTGGAGGGAGCTGCCTAGGCAGGCAGGCGCCCTGTCCCACCCGGGGCAGCACTGAGGTGCCAAGTGCTGGTGCTGGGTGGTTGGGACAGGGTATGGGCGGTGTGGGGGGAGGCGTTGTGGGCAAGCCAGCCCGGTCAGCCCCTTAGGAAGGCAGGGGCTGGGTGGGAAGTGGGGGTGGCCCTGGGGCTCTGTGGGCTCAAGCTGTGGTGGGCAGGCAGGCAGGGGTGCCCAGTGGCACCTGTGGTGGGGCCTGGGCAGTCCGCGCATCTCTGAAGGGATGGGTCATAGCTGTCCTGCGCATGTGGGGATGCTGCCTGGCTGGGGCAGGACACCGGGCTCAGGGGGCTTCCCTCTTTGGAATTGGCCTCCCTGCATGCTGAGCACGGTGCAGGCAGGGCAGAGCTGCCCCCGGTGCAGAGGCCTGGCTGCAGGAGCCCCCTGGAGCCTGGGAACAGCCACCGCGGCTGCCTCAGCCTGCCTGGGTCCCAACCTTGCCCACCTGCAGCTCCCTTCAAGGGGCCAGGACAGGGGCAGGCACTGCACAGAGCTGCTGTGCTGCAGGCTCCCAGCTGGTTTGGTCCTCGAGCGCTGGCTGCGGTGGTTGTTCCCAGAGTCCAGGGAACAGCCTGTGGCTGCAGCTCCCACTCCCACTGTACCCAGCACACACAGGGAACAAGCAGGAGCCCCCTGAGCCTGGTGTCCTACCCCAGCCAGGCAGCATCCCTTTATGGGCATGCTCCCATGGAGCCCCATGGTGGGGCTCCCCATGGAGCTGCGCAGGCTGGCTGGGCCCCACCTCCGGTGCTGCTGGGCCCCTGCTGTGACCCAAGTAGCGGAGCCCTGGGGCAGGCTCCGCTCCCCTCCTAACACCAGCTCTCTATTTACTGTAAAAAATACATAAATAAATAAATAAATAAAAAGCTACAGTAATGATTATTAATGGTATTAAATATGCAGTGCATCCTGCCGTGTACCCCCTCTTCCCCAGTTTTGTTTTTGTGGCATGCTGGCACTCTGGCACCTTACAAGGTAGACATTGTGGTTTTTTCGGCACTCCAGCCAAAAAACGTTGCCTACCCCTGATATAAATCATTCAGCATGCCCTGAAGGTCACAGATTGGACCTCACTCCTGCAATGCCTTTATCTCTCATACACGGTACTTCATGGCCATGTAGTATCCAAATAATTTTGGTGAAATTCTAGACAGGTACATGTATCTGCACATCTATATGGATCCCCCTATGAATTTGGGGCTTTAGGTTCTCTCACACCAAAGGGGAAATTGATTTCCAGATTCAGTGCTCATTCATTGAAATTGCTTTGCATATGGTTCCTTTTTTGGTTATATCAATAAAAGCTAGCTAGTAGCGGAAACACCTCAGGTGATCTCAGTGGCTGCAAGTTGCTGTTTCCTAGGGTTGTTTTGATTTTTGGCCTTTAGTTAGCCATTATTAGCACTTTTTGAGGTTTTTCCCTCTGCATTTGATACACACTAAATCAACATTATTTCCCCCCAATATGAGGTTATTTTAGGGGTAAATAGACATAAGGTCCCTGTTGAACTAAGTGAAATTAAATTAACCATTTATAGAGAGAAGTTCTCTTAGTATTTGTTTTAAGACTTTCTTGCCTTTAGGTTACACCTCTCTTTATTCAGGGATAGACTTAGACAATTATTCCATGCTGCCATTCCCCTCTAGCTATGAACTGGATGCAGATGTCCATGCCACAGCTGGTGGTTTGTTCTATTGTACTTAGGCATTTTTATGTTTTCTTTTCCTCACAAAATGGTTAATTTTTCCATTTCTAAGTGGACATTCTCCTGGTAGTTGACTAGTACATATGATCTTTCATTTAAGAATTTTTGAACTGATCTATATGGTAATGATGTTTGGCCATTTGCATTTAAATTAGATGAATTATTTATCAACTCTTAAACATATCCCTAAGCATATCACAGTAGACTCGTTAATACTTCATAAGATTCTTTTCTATTGAGTTTTTATTTCATTTCATGCATATTACTATACAAATGAAATAATATTTACACATGTTGGAAATATACTAGTGTTGCTATTTTCATTTTAAGTTATAACTTAAATTATTGTGCTCTTAAATTTAATATATTTCTGAAAAACGACATGCCTTCTTGAGTTACTGTATCACCACTTAGGCAGTAGTGGATTGCAGAATATTTTATAAAAGTTTGTGGTATTATACTGTTTGCTCTACTAATATAATTGGCATGCCTATGTTTTGAAATATGCTGTGACCAGCGGGCTCATTATTAAAATGTGTATTTGCTGATTTGAATATTTCTGTGCTATACAACAAAAGGAAAAACCATGTAAAATATGCTTATGTTGAATGTCAAAAACCAAAAAGTAAGAAAACGCAAGAATTGATCATCTTTAATTGAGCCCCCATGAGCATCCATTACAGTGCAGTCTTTAACTTAAAGATCCAAATTTTCTACAAGACTCTTGCCTAATGCAGTGCACAAGATGTTGTTTTATTGTTCTTATTACCATACTTACTTGAATCTAAGATGACCCTGAATTTAAGGTGACCTCTCTAATAATTAGATTAAATACATGGATAATTTATCAATTATCATTTTCCATGTATAGAATCTAATTATTGGGGGGGGGGGTTATCTTAAATTTATGCCCCTGTACTGCTGCAGAGGGGCAGGTGGTATAGGGAGGTCAGTTAGCTTGGCCCATGCTTGTCCTTGCTCCCCTGCCAGCTTCCCCCTGACAGGCTTGAACCTCCTTCCCTGTCTACCTCTGCTTCCCCTCCTGCCCTTCCCTCTCCCCTCTAGCCTCTGCTTTTCCTCTCCACTTCAGCCTCTACTTCCTTTCCCCCCACCAGCCTCAGCTTTCTCTTCCCTTATCCTTGCTCCATACTGATAGGTTCTGTTCCTGTTCTAGCCTGGGACACTGAGCTAGTGTGAGGGGGAGATGGGGAGAAAAGGCTACAGGGGGAAGATGGTGGGGTGCAGAGTTGGCTGGGGTGGGCAGCTAGCAGCTGTGGTTATGGCCCCAGCCTCAGGTAGGGGCTGGAACCTGAGCAGCTACCTTCCCCCTCACCACCCTCATACTCACTTCTAAGATGAGTGTTTTTTTCTAGCTCATCTTGTTCAATGTTGGGGGGAGTGGGGACCGGGCCTCATGTTAGAATTGAGTAAATTGAGTATTATGTAATTAAGTATCATGTAGTCCTTTTATTTATTTTTGCCATGCTATAAATCTATTGTTGATTTAAGCCCGATTAATCAGTTCCTGAAAACATGTTTTTACACATGTATATTGGGTAGGTCATATACAGCTTCAGAATAACCCATTTCAAAGTTCTCACTCATAAAATTCTTACTATTTACTAGAGGTACACCAATATATCAGTTGCCTATTGGATTGGCACTGATAAAAGGGAAATGACATTATCAGCTATCAGATTTTTTTGGCCATTGTAACAAAAAATTCTGGCTGGCTCATAATAGAGTTTGCAGGAGGAATCAAGGGACAATAAATGTCCACATAGTCTATGCACCTGCTTCTGAAATCCTAACAAACTAAGGGTCTTGAGAATGGTGTGCACTGCCTAGATCATCAGATGGAATTTTAACATTTAAACCAATTTTGGAGAGGTCTATATTTTTTTTATTCTGAGACAAAGAGTATTAAAAGTACAAAAATGAACAGCGTCAAATTTAGGCCTATCGAGCTTTAGCCTTTCTCTCTATGGCCCCTAGTGGATGCCAAAACAATGGTCCAGTGGGGATCGGGAGAATTTTATGCATGTCTGACATGGTAGGGGGGGCAGTGTTTGGGATGGGGCATAAAATTCCTTTGATCCCCATTGAACGCCTGTGGAGATGTCTCCAGCCCAGTTCTGCAGATCAGACAAGAGCTACCTCTGTCCTGCATCTGGTTGCTAAACTGGTAGAAGACTTAGCTGATTGCCCAGGACAACATCAGGTCTGGTTTGAGACCTGAGGCTGTCCCATAGCTGGGGCCAACAATCAGCTGAAATCCATAGTCCCGGGGTCCCCTGGTGCTACTCATTCAATTTACGGTTCTGTTTAAGTCACAAAGATGTTCCACAGCTTTTTGTGGAATATTTTTGTGGTTGATTTGCAACTTACTGGTGCTGTAAATTGACTGCACATGTTGCAGTGTTACTGTTTATGGTGTGATTTACACCTAAATCACACCATAACTATACTATGTGCCAGAGGTCTATATGTAATCTCATATGTATCTTACTAAAGTATATGCACTGTATTGAATTCACTGTTAAAATTTTGCACTGTATTGAATTCACTGTTAAAATTTAAGTAACACTGTTGGTATCTAACGTGTAGTATATATAAAGATTATTTGTAAGAAGGAGGAATTCGAAAGAGTTTTTTTGTGGGAAGAAGATTCCATAAGTGTCAATTTGTAGCATTTTTTGAACATTCTGCTAAAGTTGCTTTTTCTGACATGTTTGGATATAATATAATAGACCATGAGAACAGTTAGCATGGTCATATGTGACAATTTCTGTGTTAGGAGTCTTGGCCTCCCTACATTACATATTCCTACAAATATACAGAATTTTAAAGGAAATGGTAAAATGGGAAGAGAATAACAATTGTTGTTACATTTTAGACTTGAAAAATGTGTGGAAGCTAAAGAAGAATTAGAGACAGATCTTTATCAACGGTTTGTTCTGGTGCTCAATGAAAAGAAAGCAAAGATAAGAAACTTACAAAAGTTATTAAAAGAAGCTAAGGAACCTACAGAGGATAAAACACATGCAAGGTATTCATAAATTTGCTGAGTTATACAGTGTTACACCTGACATGTAAATAGATTTAATTTTTATTTCAATTCTATAGCAAACTATTCTATATAATAATAGTAAATTATCTTTATATAGTTGCTTAAGTTCTAAGGTGTTTTACATGTTTTATAATTTAAGTAGTAACTAAACATGCGTGATTTTGGAATATGTCAAGGCAGAAAGCCAAGAACATTCAATTAAGCTTCCAGTGATATGTGAGATGACTGGCATATTACACATGCCAGCATATTGTTATGGGTTTTATTGTTCAATGCTGACTAAAGAAGAAGAGCACTAACTTCTGAATAAACCAGTCGTTAGCTGTGTTTTCACTGACTGCTTCCTATCCAAGTACTAACTGGTACTAAGCTTGCTATTTGTGATGCAGCTTAAAGTGGTATGGCTTTGATGAAAGTTTTTTTTTAAGTTGAATTTTAAGTTAGTTCTGGTAGAAAATGGATAATGGTTTATGTTGTCAGAGGTAGAAGTCACCTCTGTTCTATTTCCCCAGAAAACACCTTTCTTCTAAAATGCATAGAGCCCTTATTGAATAACTAATTTTGTGATAATTCGAAATATCCACTTTGTTCCAAACTCTTCTTTGTATATTAATATTTTGCTTATAAGCTGCTCAGCATAGGGATTTTGTAGTGGTATTAGTCTATGAAATACTGTAGAAATAATAGCCAATAAAATACAAACACAAGAAATGGAAAAAATCATCTTTCTTTTTATGGATAGCACTTCTCCCGTTGAAACTACTGCTGAAAGAGAAGATGATTATGAGGGCAGCACTGATGAGGAAAGTGAGCCTTTAACACAGCCTTCAGTAGCATTAGGTAAGATAAAATATATTGTCTTTGTGGACTTATCACAAGTAGGCTAATTACTTTTTATCAGTGGTTTTCAACCTGTGGTCTGCAGACCCCTGGGGTCCACAGACTCTGTATAAGTGGTGCTTGAAAGATGACTATGATCAATCAAAGGTATGTGAATACCCGTACTTAAAATTCAAAGGGGTCCACACCTCCAGCTGAAACTTCCAATGGGGTCTCCAAATGAAAAAAGGTTGAAAACCACTGCTTCATATGAGTAAGCTGTAATGAAGACAAAATACTACCTGCCAGTTTTAATTGCAACAAGTCAACCTGCAAGCATAAAAAGATCTCTGTTGAAGTTGAATAAATTGCAGACATTTCCATTTTTTTAAAAAGGAAGCTTAAAAAGGATGTTGCATACATGAAGGAATTGTCATTGTTTATTAAACAATAAATTTCATACTTTGCATAACTAACAGCATGTGGAACTTTTTATAGATTATTTACTAAGTACGATTTCATTTTAAATTACAGGCATTATTATATACACTTGGGCTATTGGCAGACATGAAAAAAAAACCCTGCACTTTACTGGAAGAAGCAGCACCTTAGGTTGACCCAGCTCTACAACATCTGTATAGATTGGGTGCTTCAGTGGGGCTTTTTGGCACTTTTATCTAATAGCTGATTCAATCAGCTATTAGATAAAAGTGCCAAAAAAGCCCCACTGAAATGCCAGATCTAAAAAGATGTTGGGCAAGCCAGGTCCAAATAATGTGATGCCTCTTCTGGGCATGCACGGGGCTTGTAGCAAGGGCAAGAAGAGTTTAAAGTAAAGTGGCAGTTTTGGGGGTTTTCTAATGTCTTTAAGCAGCCATAATGAATACTAAAATGTGATTGCTGGCAGTTCAGATATGTTAAAAAAAGGAAGGGGTGTTATAAAGGGAGGTTGATAGTTATAAAACTATATAAAAAGAGTTTTATACTAGTTTTGCATTGTACAAATGGAGCATAAATATTTTTGTAATAGGTTATTCACCTTTTTTATATGCTGTTGGCCTCATATCATCTGTTTTATCTAATTGGGTCAAAACTGGAGAAATAGGAAATCAATGCTATACAGAAATTGTCTGTTTTATAGTACAAGGCTTTGCATAATACAAAATCACAGAATTCTGTGCCAGACACAATGTTTTCATTTTTTTTAAAGGGACACTTTCAAGGCTGACTTGCATTGAGAGCAGGGTTGCCAACCCAAGACAGGTTTTTTTACTAACAATCTGCAAACTTTTAACTGCCAAACTCATTCACTGACACATGTTTTTGCTGACATACGTTTACATAACCTAAATGTAAATCTTCTGTAAGGCCCAGAACAAGGGCGGGGTTCAAATTTAGGGGTTTAAGACCAGCCATAGTAAAAATGTTTGGCCATCAGTAAAACGTTTGCAGATTATCATTGGAAACAAAAACGTGGGTTGGCAACCCTGCTTGACTACAGCAATGGTTTTATACCCTGCTGCCTGCACTGCAGGGATCCCCTACTCACCCACCCACACCATGATGCTCCTGACTACACACCATACCAGGCTTCCCCCATCCACCCACCCCTCAGACTTACCCCTGCCAGGCCCATTCCCCTGTTCCAACATAGAACCCCTCCAAAAAGGACTGTTACTGCCAGTGAGGCAAGTAATATCACAAGCAGACAGGACAGCAGCACATGGCCCTGGCGTGGTGGGGAGCTGCGGAGACTCTTGTGAGCCAGAAAGCTCTGAGAAGGTACCAGGTTGTACTGCTCTTCTTTGTCTATCCATCAGCACTGCCTCCAGCTTCTTTCTGATGTCATGCTTCAATCAAGCTCCAGTTGCTTAGTTTTTTTTTTACAGATGGCTCCATTTCTTTGTGGATTTTGGACAGGTGTTGTTAGCCTTGTTTTTAATGGTCTGTCTGTACATTTATGGATTGTTGGTACCCTGATTGAGAGATGCTGAATACTTAAGAATTTCTCCTTCAGGATTGTTGGATTTGTAGGTTTTCCCTCACTGTTGCTATTTATCTCTACTGTAGGAAAACCTAACCAATGAAACAAAGCCATAAATAACTGACTGACTGCACATGTCCATGGCCTCTAATGAAAGTTGAAGCTGTTCTGCACTGTGACATGATTGATTATCACATCTATAAAACTCATGCACAAGTTTATTAAAGACCTATCATTATACACAACTTATAGTTTTCTGATTTAGGCTATGGACAGGCATTCAGTTCCAATTCTGAGAATTTCAGGGAAATTCTTACCACTGAGAAAATAAGTTGGGTTGGGGCTGTACAGGCATTCCAGCCCTCTGGCTGGAGAGCTGTGCAGACTCCTCAAAGCCAAGCTCTCAAGAAGCAGCCGTCTTGTGTCCTGCTGGAGGCCCCGACTCCTAGAGGTGCCTGATGATTGACAGCCTGCCCTCTCCATTGCTTGGGAAGGATGCAGGATGTCAGTGAGAAGCTAGCAGGTGCTGAAAAGCAGCACTTGCAAAGGAGAGGCTCCCTGCCATGCAGGAGTTTCAGGGATGAGGAGAACTTGACCCCCACCATCCCTGGGCATTCCTAATACCCATTAAACAGTCCAGGGGAGTCCTGGGATTGTTAAAGGGCCATCAGGAATAACCCCTGCTGGGGCAGCATGGGAAGTCTCTTGGGCTGCTCAAGCAGTGTGTGAGCTGTGGTACCTTTTAATCAGTACCAGGGTGCAGTGTAAAGCTGCAGAAGCCTTAGGGCCAGTCCTGCTTTTCCTTGCCTTTGAAGAGTACTACAACCAGACTAGGGGTGGGTGACCTGGGCTCCAGTTTTGAGGAGGGCACAAAAATGTTGGTCACCACTGCTGCCAGCTTAGCTCCTATCATCATCTGTGCCCAAGATACAAAAATTGCTTTTTACACTTCTATATAATATGTCTTTTAAAATAGTCAAATGTGAAGGCAGACATTTAGGAACAAAGAATATAGGCCTGGGTTACAGAACAAGGGATCGTATCATGTGAAGTAGTGATTCTGAAAAGGATTTTGGGGGTTGGTGGTGGATAATCAGTTGAGCATGAGCTGCCCATACAAATCTATAGCCAAAATCTTTGGATACATAAGAAGGCAAAAGTGAGTAGGAGTTGAGAGGTTGTATTACCTCTATTTGGCACTGAATCCAATTTTACCAGCATCATTCAAGGAGGATGTTGAGAAATTGGAGAGAGCTCTGAGAAGAGTCACAAGAATGACTAAAGTATTGGAAATCATCCTTTTTAGTAAGAGATAAGTTCAGTTTGCTCAGTTAACAAACAAAAGTGTGTTATAATCATAATATATACGTAGCTATGCCAGACAAAGAAATGTGATAATACAGGGTTCTTCAGTAGAGAGTGGAGCAAGATGCAGCAACTGGAAATTGAGAGTAGACAAATTAATGCTAGAAAAGGGTGCTCATTTTTAATAATGAGGGATTAATAGCTTCACCTAGTGACCATAAGGAATAATTTAGCAATGGTTTGCTGGATTCTCCATCTCTTTAAAAAAAGGTGCAATACTTTTCTAAAGGACATTGACCAGGCAAGAATTAATTCAAGGAAATCTGATTTGTATTTGTAAGAGGTCAGACTAGACAATTACAATGGTCCCATGTGGCTTTACAAATCCATAATAAAAGATAAATCTAAAAAAAAACCCAAACCTTTTGTATCTTTCATATTTTTTTCTTTTTCTACTATTTCATACATTCTTAATCAAATTATTGGATACATTTCCAAGCTCTGCACAGTATCAGCAGGTAGAAATCTATTTAGTTTCCTATACAGTTTTGCTAGAGTCTCTCCTTACTTCTTGATTACAATGTCTAATATGTGGCTCAAAGCCAGAATCGACAGGAGCATGCAGAGTTTTTCTCTCAAATCCGTATACCATTTAATAATGGTATAAAAAAAGCCAGCTAAACATGAACTAGTAGACAAGGCAAGGAACAAAACTTATGATCTATTTGAGAAGAGTCAAAGCCCCAGAAGCTGTAGAAGCTGAGGAGGAGCAGTCCTGCACTGTCTGGCCATAAGAGCATGGTGCAGGGATCACAGCAGGAGCAGTGAGAATTTTGAGTCCCTGGGGTAGGTAAGGGGCTCTTAGGGCAGGCTGCTCCAGTTCAGTTTCTAGGACCAGAAAGTCTGGAGCTGCTCCTACGGTAGCCTGGCACACAGTTCCTATACCCGGGTGGTGCAGGGCTTCTCTAGCTCCGCTCTTACGGTGGAGGTGGGGAGGAGCTTATAGGGTTGCTTCAGATGTGATAAAGCTGTGCTGGCTCCTGTTGCTATTAGGGCCCTGCCAAACATTCAAGTTAAAGCTGAGTAGAAACCAGCTATAGTTTTGTTACATATTTTGAAGCACAACTTTGTAGCTGTAATATATGTAACATGTAGCATGGGCCTTAGTGTTAGAAAGAATTGCATTGGTACTCCTGTGAGGTTGATGCTTCATTAAATAGAAAGGGGATGTTCACACTCTTGTTAATGCCCCTGTATTGGGGGTGGGGATTAGATGACAGTGCATCAATTTACAGTGTAAAGGATCTCTCCTTTGCTAGAATGACTAAATATTTTTAGTTTAGATTATGAGCTCCTCAGTTACATTAGGGAACCCCATTGAAATCAACAGAAATGACAGGATTTGCTTTACAGGACAGCTTTAGAAGAGGTTCTAATAAACTTTCATACCCCAAATAAATAACAGTGAACACCTTGTTTTCCGACCTCTCACACAGGTTCCTATCTTGGGGATTAGATATTGTGCCTTCAGGAGGCTATGGCCCTTTACATTTAATTAGTTCTCTTGTGAAGTCCAAAACACCAATGGCTTGACACTGCTGCTGCTTAATAAGCTTTGATCACAGTTATTAAAAAATGCCTCTTATTACAGCACCCAACTGTGCTGTTGCTGTTAAAGTTCAGTCTGTCAGGCCTTCTTTTTTAAGCCTGTGTTAAGGAGTTTTAGAACTGG